ACCTCTGCCGGCTATATATTCAACTTCACGAGCCTTATATAAAAGATCCTGCTGCCTATCCTAAGCTTCAGGTAAAGCATTGACTGTGGAGCATAGAGTGTTAAGAAGTGATTTGTTAACTGGTGCAAAGATGAAGCCATGGGTTTCACAGAAGACAAGATCAATAAGGGAAGTATTTGTTTATGGCTAGTTAAACGGTAGTTCATGTTTTCCACTACAGCCATTACAGGGTACCAACACTTTGTTGCGGTAAACTTAAACTTGGATTCAAATCAGCTACCTGGAGTTACACATCCTAATTACTGAGGCTTCTTTTAATATATCCCATGAAACATATCTGCATGCTTTATGATCATTCCTCTTCCTTAGAAGGGCAAAGTGGACTTTCAGCCTGGAATAATGGAGTGAAAAGGAGTGTAGTAATACTAGATTCCTTAAGCTCATGTTACACTTCTGTCACAAGTGACACACTCTTTGAAACTTGACACTTTTTTCCAAACCCTATTTACACAAGCACTGCAGAGGAAGGAACACTGTGCTTTAGTTTTGTAGTATCTGCAAGGTAACCCTGGCTGCTGCATGGGGGCAGGGCCTGAAGCTGTAAGAGGACTCAAGTGAGGCAATGAGCAGAACCCAAATATCTCTGCTGGACCTGTTCTTTCTGGGAAAGGGGGGGCTTGGGTGTGTCTCTTGCCTCCCAACTGAAAGTGCAATGGAGCCTGAGAAATGGACACCCATGTTGCATTGGACACCAAGTTAGGCTAAACCATGCTTATTGACATGGTCTCAAGATGGCAAGGGGTAGGAAAACATGTCTGGGATGAAGTGGATTTGGATGGGGCAGAGACAACAGCTGTCAGCATTAGTGGAAGCCTCAGGGTAGCTGGATCCTGTCAACAGCATCCAGGTGTGAAATTCTTTTCTCAAAGAAGGTACAGCTGCAAAAAGGCCTAGGAATTACTGCTGCCAGGAGTGTAGTTTTAAACAGTCTCATCTCCCTCACACTGCAAAGCAACTAATATTTCTGTTTAAAATGCAGATGCTGGCATACATGTTCTACTCTGTGCCATACTATGTGATTGCTCTGTATGGCCTACTGGTGCCTGGTTGTTCCTGGATGCCCGATTTAACCCTTATACATGCTGGAGGACTAGCTCAGGTATTTCTTTGTGAAATGTTCACTCTTGAATTACAAGTTAATAAGTAGAGACCTATGGAATAAGTAAGGGGCCCAGGGCTTGATCTTGATGCAGGTTTTATGCCATTGTAACTCAGATCACCTTTTATATCTGTAAAAAACTAATTTAAGAGAGTGGAGAATCAAACCTATTCTATGTCTCTAATGACTGCATTCTTGCTTCAGCAGACTTCTGTCCTTCTGCAGAATCTTTTTATTGGGTTCATTTAAACCATATTAGGCACCATGTGCTCTTTAGCTGAGACCATGAAGAAAGCCTGTGTTAAAGCTGTAACTATCAACCATGTAAAAAACCAAAAATACATAATACATTGTGTCCATAAAATGTTTTGGACAAATAGGTAGTGTAAAAGATAAATGGAAAAAGTATCTAGTAGTCACACAAAATGAACAATACCAGTTGATGATTTTGATATAACACTGGGAACCTCCTGAGCCACAAACCACAATAACACTAATACAGGCTCATGTTGCCAAAGGAAATGATCATACTTTATTATCTCATTCTGTTCTGATTCTCCTAAATAACTGTTGTTAATTACTAGATGGTGCTAATGGTTATGAGAAGACTGGCCAAAACAATTCAAAAGGAACTAGCAAATGACTTCATGACATACAGATTGACCATTTAGCAGTTGAGACAGGGACAATTGCTTTGTACTGTATGTAGTAAGTGAGATGTAATATGAGCATCCACACAATGCAGAAGATACGCACATAATCCTGTAGTGATAACAAGAACATAGGAACATGGCAATAAGTGTAAGTCAGGTACCACTATTAGACCAACGCTTTGGTCCCCAGGCCAGAAACAATCATGGATACAAACTACAATCCAGCTTAACTGCCCAGTAAGGACAGGGGAGTGACAGTTTATTTTCTGTTTCTGAGCAACTATCACAGGGAATGTGACTTTTTTTTAAAGCACATCAGTTTATAGAGAATCTTGAATCACCAAATTATATCAAAACAGAATCTGGCAAACATATTAATGAGGAGGTTGAAATGCTCAAAAGGCATCATAAATATCATACAACTGTGTTTGGCCGAAACCTAATCTAAAAAAAAGCACAAGCTAGCTAAAGTAGGCAAGCCAGTGTCAGGAACCTCTCTCTACTGACAGATTACTCAGGTTTCACAAATTCCCCAGACAGTCAGGAAAGAAACACTCCTTCAAAGATTATTTAGCACAATGAGAAGTCAGAGTGTGCTATCGCAACCTTGCAAAATCCCCAAGAAGCTCAGCCCTCCAGACTGGAAGCAATTTTTTGTTTGTAGATAATTGGTTTGTTGGTTTTTTGGGTTTTTTTTTGTTTGGTTTTTTTTTTTTTTAAGATGTTTCCCCATAACAAATCACTCACCTTTTTAATGGCACCTTGTACCTTTTAGCTGTACAATTAATGCATGCAACATTTTGTTGCCAAAGCCTAGAACCCCTCTTGTCACATGGCTTTAGGATAATGCTGATTTACACATTAGACAAGGAGAAGAAAAGCTACCCAAAGCTAACACTCAATTTCCCATCTTACTCTTTGAAGCTTGTCCTAGGCACAAGCAAAAACCACAGGCTGACAAAAACTGATTAAGAGAACTATGTTCCTGCACACTCCCCACATTTTATCCTGATTCAAGAAACATTTCTTTTAAGTTTGGGGTTTTTTGTAGTTTTGACTTTAACACACTGAAGAATCAACTTCAGTCGTCCCACAACTAGGCATGATTTAATTGATTTGACTTGGTAAACTATGAGCAACCTCGGATGAAAAAATGTGTGTGACAATGAATTGAGGGCTCATTTCTATATTATTTTTAGTTTTGGTAATTGAGGCACAGCACACATTTCCAGGTTTGACTGCTGTTTTCTCAAGTTAAAACACTTGCAATTGATAAGTAAAATGTATGTAGTTACTGAAACACATTCTGCTTTGTTATGCACAAAGGTACAAAAAAAGGTAACTATCTGATGATGGAAACAGTAGGCATTTCCCCCCGGAATGAACACTGTTCCTACAGATGAGGAATGTTGGGATTTAAATTATTTTTTTTTTTTTTTTTTTTTACAAAAACAAGTCTCAAAATACCATGTGTTGCATCTAAACTAAAAACCTCTTAAAGTACCCTGCCTTTCACACACAGAGAGAAATACTTACTGTTTCAGAATTACATATAGCTCTCAGCTTGAATTATTGTTACTAACATCCAGACTCCAAAAAAATTCCTCCAAGTTGAGGATTTTTAACCCTCATTGGACTTTCTGAAGCTTTATGAAGAGCTCTTTAAATGACATGCAACTAAAGTACCAGGAGCTTTGAGTACACAAAAGGGTTGTAATAGCCTCTGAACTGGATTAAACTGTCATTTCTCAATGCAAGGGAGCCACAGCCCTGCTCTCCAAAACCATTCTGTCTCACCAACTCTCCATAGCCCACTTCCCTATTCCCTCAGATGTACAAAGTTTTTCTCTTCTCCATCTAAGTGCTTTCCTTAATCCTCCAATTTTTGCTGGCTAATTTCTCTAGTGCCTCTTGTCTACAAGAGAACCTAACCCAAGGAACATAGTTTTCTAGGTTACTCTCACTCTATTTGATGGCTTTCCTTATAAGCCATATATAAGCCATTTCCTTATAAGCATAAGGTCTTGTCCAAACCCCTCCAAAATCAGTTACAGTCTGCCTAATTTTAGTCAGTTTTAGAGAGAAGGCACAGAGTGAAGAAGGGACTCCTAATCTTTTTCCAGGAGTTTCTTTGTCTCTAGCAGGAGGGCTTTCTTGACTGCAGGGTAAGAAATATTCAAAGTATGGCCTATGATTAGGCTACAGGTAAAATATATTGTAAGAAGATCCAAACTTAAACTATTTCGTACAGACAAGAAGCTTAATGATTAGCAGGTGCATGCAAATTGCAGCTATCAAGTCAAGCAGTGCCATGTCCAGCACCAGGCAGCTTCCAATTGCTGTAGGATGGGTTGATCAGCAGGCTGGCCGAGGCTTTCAGGTTAACAAAGGCTGTACATTAAATGTATAAGGCTACCTTATAAGTTTACATGCAGCATCTCATTTGGTTGATTTCTCAGCCAAGATTTAAGGGTTTGATCCTCAAAATTCTCCACTTAGAGAGGGCTCAGTAACAGAAAGCACCAAGGAATGGCTTATTCACTGAGAGGATCTGATCACAGCAAGGTAACACAGCAGACTCAAGGCTGCTCTCACCGCAATGCCAGTCTACTGCGCAAGAGGCGCAGAGAGCTGCGGTAACTAACAGCTCTTGTCTAACTTCTTAAAATGATGGATTTGGTGCAAGTTTGCCTAGTACGTGAAGAAGAGCAGGACTGGGCTACTGGTGAGTGAGAGATCTGCTTTGCAGACACCCCCCTGCCCCAAGGTAGCCAAAAAAACCCCAACCAAAATAAAAGCAAAAGCAGAGTACAGTCATGGAAAGGAAACACGAGATTAAAGACATAACACAATTTCCACAGAAGCAAATCAAATTTTAAAAAAAGTGACTTTAACAGACCTAAATATCCTCCCTGGTAATAAAAGGAAAAAACAATGTGTTACACTGACAAACAAGTCTAATAAACAATAACTTCATTATATAGTACATCATTAGCTAGATAAAAATCTTCATGGGCTACAAATAGAACAAAATGTTTCTGCTTTTTCTTTTTATAATGCTCAAAGCTCACTAATAGGCCACAATTCTTGTAAGAGACAAGACCACAAATAAGGCTTAGATCTTCAAAGGCATCTAGGAGACTGTGATACTTCTTTCAGGCACAGTCCCTTACAGCTCTTTCTGAGGCAGTCTATTCTGAACTTAGTATGAGTTTACTGTCAACTTACTATGCTGCACAGCTGGCCACTCCTGGAGACAGGCAGGCCTTGCAATCCTCCATAGAGGAGTACATAGCTTAGCATCCTGTTTACCCCAGGAGAGGCTCTAAAACACTACCAAGAGGCTATTAGTGTCTAGGTAAATATCAGACAACCCCACACCACCTACCTGAAGCCTGACAGCAGCCAACTATCTTCCTGGGAAACTGCTACTTCACATCAGAAGAGGTCTTTGCTGCTGAGCACTAATGCTCTGACTGCCCAGGCTGAAATGGCTCCCAAGGCAAGGAAAGGCAGCAGGGATAGGAGCCAAAGGTAGTTCCTAGCTGAGCCAGGTGAGAACACACAGGCTGCAAGAGAGTGTGTGAATTATGGGGCTGATATAAAAAGGCTGCTGATACCATGCCCCTGAATATCTGGTACCTGTGTAACAGCTATTTACAGAAACATGCTAAGTGGCACTCTGCTGAAGTGTGTTTGTGTTGGATTTCTTTGATTGCTCCATTTCCTGACTCAGGTTTGCAAGATCAGCTCCCCTGTTAGGTGGAGGTGGTTAGAATCACCTGAAAACTGATTTCCTTCTCCATTTTGTATGGTCTCAGCCTAACCTTTTGCTAGAGGCGTGTGGATTAAAACACCTGCGCTGTATTTCACTTTCTACTTTGCTATCTGTGAACAGAACTCTGTTCTTTGTGAGCCCAAAGTAACTCCT